GTCAGTTATTAGTATAGCTTTAAGAGTTGAAGGGGCAGGTTTTCCACTGGCCACTCAGTCATTACTCCAGTATTGATGGGCTGTGTGCATTGGGACACTGTGGAATTCTAAGAGTAGCACACTGCAGCAGAATTGATCGCAAAATTGTATTTTCCAATGGGCAATTCCTTGGTTAGGATCCCTATGAAAATCCCCATTTAAATCAGAGACTTCAGATTGTTCCAATGAAGTTAAGCGAAATAATTACGAAGGAAAAGTTAGACTGCCAAATACAGAGTCGAACTCCTCAGTACCTGTTCAATTAACCTCACCCACCCCAATCTGAACCTACTCCAGAATGTTACATACAACCCCCACCCCAAAACCTGACTCCACACCTTCCCCAACTTACTCTCACCCCCTCACTGGACGCTAACTCAACACACCCTTCCAATCCCCCTACTAGTTACTTCCTGATCTGTCCATGGAGTGTGCTCTGAATGGGCAATGCTGGTTGAGATGGAAGCCTAGAAGAGCAAGTGTTGAGCTGGAGTGGTCAAGTACACACTCAAATCTTTACATCAGGAATTGGTTGCCTGGGAAAACGGCAACCAGCCTATAAATGAGGCAAGGATAGGTAATAATGAGATGTTAATATGTGCAACGAGGCTTCCCACCCTTTAAACTTGTGTGGAAAATCAAACTTTTTCCCCCCACTCAATGTTGCGAATCTCATTTTTTCTTTGTCGCCATGGTCCCATGTTGTTCAAGAGGCCATTGTTACTACCTGACCATTTGCATGAGTTAGTGAGAATAAAAAAAAAAGCCTTTGAGAAAATCAGAAGTCTTTTGCCCATAAGATGTGGGTGCAGGCTATTTGGCCCAATGAGGTCTTTGCTGCCATTCAATGATGTCCTGGCTGATCTTCTCACCGTTTTCCTGCCTTATCCCCATAACCCTTGATTCTCTTACTGGTTAAAAATCTATCTCAGCCTTGAACATACTCAATGACCCCATCTCATCATGCCTCAATGGTAGAGAATTCCACAGATTCACTACCTTCAGAGAAAAGAAATTGCTCCTCCTCTCGGTCTTGAATGGGCAACTCCCCATATTTTCAGGTTATGCCCTCTGGTCCTAGAGTCTGCCCAATAGGAAACAACTTTTCTACATCTATCCTGTCAAGTCCCAAAAAACCTTCCCATGTTTCAATGAATACAGGCCTAAACTGCTCAACCCCTCCTCATAAGACAGTCCCTCCAGGCCTGATATCAGTCTAATGAACCTTCTCCGAATTGGCTCCAATGTCAGTACACCTTGCCTAAAATTAACTATTTTGATCTCTGCACCTTATCCACCCCATCCACCTCCCACACATATCTTAGCCAATTTCTTCAACTTCAGCCGTCTATTCACACTCCCACTTTACAGACTCACTCATGCACCCATTCTTTAAATTAAAACTAATCCTGCAGCAACCCATTCCATTAAGGGAGGGCATTGTAATCTATGCTTTCTCTCTTTGCTGCTCTCTGCTTGGATTCCTGCGCTGAGAGATTTCTTTGGGCTATTCCATTAGAAGTCAGATCCTTTTAAATGTTCTGACACTGATGGAAGATTTGGGCTAAGACTTTAAAATTACGAGGTGATTCGATAAAGAGGATACGGAAAGAAAGTTTCCTCATATCGAGGGTTGGGGATGGTAGCGATAACTTGAAGGTGTCAGAATGAGAAGGAAAAAACACTTCACTACGAAAGTGGTGGGAATGAGGAACTCTGCCACCACAGGGAGTGGTTGAAATGAGTAGTGTTGATGCCTTTAAGGGGAGGCTACATAAGCATTTGACAGGGAAAGGCATCATAAATTGCTTATATAGTTGGATTCACATGAGGAAAGGCAGAGGGCAGCTCAAGGAGAGCAGTAACACCAGTAATGGACAGGTTGGGCTGAATGGCCTCTTTCTGTATGATATATCCCATGAGTTGAGGTAAAATTGCACAGGTGGATGTCGTCCCAAATATGGGCATGCAAAGACCCTGCACATTTAGCATAATAAAACATTGCAGGAGAACAGCACACACTGTGTTGTGTATACATAATTATGAGACGCTGTCTTTGCTAGTTTGGTAGCACTTGCTAAATGGCAGCAAGGCACTGAAGTGATGTAAACAGTACTGATTACTGCAGATTGTCTCCACACTCAGAAACTCTGCATGAGCAACTGTGATCTGAAAAATATCTCACCCATTTTGTGAGCTGCCTGAAGAGAAGGGAAAAGCAAATTGAATTTGAAAATGAGTTAGGCAGTTTAACGACCTGTTTAAATAAATCCGAATAGTGAGACTATCTTCGCAAAGCCTCTGGTGATAGTTTCACTGCAACAGATTCATTTATCAGGCTTTAAAATGTTACTTCAACGATTACTTTGCAACAAGACGAGATAGAAATATTACAGCTTTTCAAAATGTGCATCATCATTCTTTCACACATAGACTTGGAAGACCTCTGAAGACTTACAATAAATGCAGATCATTGTAGGCTTTTTAGTCATTAAAAAAGAATTCATTTAATTGCAATCCATGCAGATATGCCTGATCTGAACATATGTCCATTTTTAATATCAAAGACAATAAATCAGGGATGTGTTCTCGCAAATAAGTATATATGAGCAGAACTGTTTCTTGTCTGATCCTCGACTACTTGCAGCAAACTCACTGCTGACCTCACAAACATTAATGATGCAGCTACACTGATGAACAGACAGCTTTCTGAGGCTAGACCTTTCCACAAATCTCCAAAAGCAGTCAAGGAGTTCAGTATATGGTCTGCCTGTGTGCGTTCCTGGTGCTATCCTTGTGTGAACACATTGCCAGATTATTCAAGGCTCTGATAGTCTCAGACTGTGGAGGAGGGGCTTAGTACACGGCTGCCCTATCAATGGTGACACTACACCCATTGCCATTTTTACTGACGGCAGCTATCCATAGCACCCACTTATATTGTCATTTGCTTGTGGGGTTCAAATGTCACTGACCGGATCAGTATGCATTTCCCATCTCTGAATGCTCTGGAGAAAGTGGTGGTGAGATGCCTTCTTGAACAACTGCAGTGTGTGCTGTAAGTACATCCACAATGCCATTTTTGTGGAGGGGGCTGGCGTTCCAGGATCTGGGGAAGCAATGGCCAAGTGACATTATCACTGGACTGTTAATCCAGAGACCCAGATAAAGTTCTAGGGACCTGGGTTAAAATCCCACCACAGCAGATGGTGGAATTTGAACTTAAAAAACATCTGAAATTAAGAATCTAATGATGACCATGAACCCACTGTTGATTGTCAGGAAAACCCCATTTGATTCACTAATGTCCTTTAGGGAAGGAAACTGCCATCCTTAAGCTGGTCTGGCCTATATGTGACTCCAGACCCACAGCAATGTGGTTGACTCTGAACTGCCCTCTGGACAATTAGGCATGAGCAATAAATACTGCCTAGCCAGCAATGCCCTGATCCCATTAATGAATAAAGGATTTTAACCAATGACAGTGAAGATATGGCAATTCAGTTCCATGTCAGGATGGTGTGTCATTCAGAAAGAAATACACAATGCATAGTGTTCCCTGTGTCTGCTGCCCTGTGCTTCTCAATGGTACAGCTTGTGTGTTAATTTGGAAGGGGCTGTTAAGGGAGACTCTGTAAATTGCTGCTGGGCCTAAGCAAGGCCCGAAGATGGGCACCGTTCCTTGACTGCCATTTTCAGACAGAACCAGTTGGATCACTGCAGATACTTGTCTTTTCTCTCGACAACTCCTGCTAACTCCAAATTAGTCACCAGAGGGCAGTATGGGCCACCACTGATCTTTGTTCCTCCCCTGCAGACTTTTGGAATTAGAATTATATTTTATTGTAGAAGTCCATGAGTACAGTGTGGAGTGTTCCTGGCGCCATCGTAGGTACAGAGATCTTAGGTCCAAGACAGAAAATTAAAGAAACAAAGTTAAACATTACAGTCCTTCTTAAATGTTAAGTAGAAAAATAAAGAAGTAAAGTTAAAAGTTGAACATGACACTCCTTCTTAGTATTAAGTGGAAAACTAAGTGCTTAGCCATGCCGAGCTCACACTCCCTACATGGACTCGATCTCCTCCACTTTGGCCTGCTCTCTGGGCGACTTCAGGATGCCTGCTCTTGCCATCACTGCAGATACCATGGGACCTCCCTCACTGCCGTGTTGGACACGTTGACACGCCCTTCCCGCTCTGAGCTCAATCTCTGATCAAAGTCCCAATCCAGGACCCCAGCCAAAGACTACACACCGGACCTCTAGCCAGCTGTCCTGCTCCAGACCCAACGAAGCCGCAACGCCATCATCGCCGCTGCCTCCATGACCGACCGCTCTGCAGAATGCGAGTCTGATCTCCCCTGCGCTCGCCACCGCGGATGCCAGGAGACCTGTGGCCGCTGTTCCCGCCGCCGCCGCGTCGTGCTGCCCGCTCTCACCGCCATGTTGGGCCCGCTCTCCCCACGATGGCTCAATCTCCCACGGGCTGGGCTCGCCCTGCACAAACTCGCTCTCCGCAGCGGGTAAGCAGAATATAAAAAGTACGAGAAGAAGACAGTGAAAGATGACAGAAAAGGTAAAGGCGAAAGGGTGCAGGTTGAGCTGCGGGCTGGAGCCCTCACACTGTGGTGGTGGTGCCGCTCCACCGTCGCCATCTTGGATCAGCAGGTCCCATTGACCCTGTGTCCAATTTTCAATCCTGTCAAATGGAAGCAGTCATTGCTCAACTTCGATCCCGGCCTCGAGCAGAAGAGCATCCAACCCAAAACTTAGGAGCGATGCCTGTCCAAATCTGTTACTTCCAAACGTAATAACTGCCGTTTAGATGGCGGAGTAGAGCAACTGAGCCCCAGGCTCTTCCGCTCCGTCTTGTTTTTTTAATTTACCTGCCTCCCCCAACAAACCCCATTTCTTTTCCTTTTTATTTCTCACTCTCTCCTGGTTTTTTTTTTTGTAACTTACCTCTTATTTGAAGGGCTCGGTGGCGACTGTTGAGTGGTCCCAGCCGCCGCGTGGTTTTAGGTTTTAGGTGGCGGTGCAAGTTTTGATTTCCTGGTTGGTTTGGTTTTTCTGCACTGACGAGGCGAGGCGGTCCGAGCGACGGCTCACAGAGGCGTCGCCTCCTCAGTTTGTGGCTGGGTTCCAGGTTGCGTCGGCGTCCAAGGGAAGCGCCGCCTGGTGCGAACGTGGGCCCGCTGCCGCCAGACCGACTGGCATCAGCATCGGCGGCGAAGGTGGGCCCCACGAGGCGGACCCCCACGTTTGGCTTGGCGGTGTGGAGTTTGGGCCGTAGCCTGGCGTCGTCAAATTGGCGAGGTCCATCGAGGACTCACTAAAGTGGCGAGGCGAGGGGACTCGCGCCTGGCCTTCCGGCCCTCCTTTGGCCGACGGCGGGAGCGCCCTAACAAGGAATGGCTGTCAAGTTGGACGTTCTGTCTCTATTTCTTCTTCTCCTTTTTTTCTCTGCCTTCACGTATATTCTGTGTCCTGGGATAGTGGGAACTGCCGATGCTGGAGAACCTGAGATAAGAAGGTGTAGAGCTGGATGAACACAGTAGGCCAGGCAGCATCGGAGAAGCAGGAAAGCCGACGTTTCGGGTCTGGACCCGCTTCCTGCTCCTCCGATGCTGCCTGGCCTGGTTTTGTTTTTAAGGTGACGCCGGAGAGCGTCAACTCTATGCAACACTGTATTTTTGTAACGCAACATGCATGTGGCGATAAATCAATCAATCATTCAATCAGTCAAATTAAAGTCGCCGCGCAGTTCAGACTCAAAATTGCATTAATTTTTTTTTTTAAAAAAAGTATTAGCTCCCCCAGAAGCTGGACTTGGTCTTCAAAGGCAGCAGCTCTGGTGGATTCTTTCTGAAGTGATTTGAGTGATCTTTTCCTTTAGCCCCGGATATGGGAATATCTCCAATTTCTTCAACTGAGACAGAATCAGATTCGCTGATCCGCGTAGCAGCGAATTCATCTTGGTGCCTTATACAGCGCGACCTACGCCAACATTTCCGTAACTCTCTGGTATTCTTCATCCAGAGAGCTGGGGGAGGTTAACTCATCGAATATATTCAAGGCTGAGCCAAAGAGATTTCTGAACTACAGCAGAGTCAGGACTTGTGGCGAGCTGGGGAGAAGTGGAGTTGGGGCAAGGATCACATTAGCCATGACCTCAAAGAAGACTGAAAGCTTGTGGGGCAAACACATCGCTTACTCATGATCCTATTTTTTACATTCTTATGTTTATCAAGATACTACTGAATCTCGTCATTTGTTGCCCTTGTGTAGTACTGCGTGCATTCTCAGAGGCAGCTGCCCCTAGTGCCCTTGAAATTGGCTGAAACCTGAGGATAATTTACAGCCGTCTCAAGATTGAAAACTGAGTGCAACATCTAGGGAACGGAGAGCTTTTTTTTAATATCGATCAGTCATTAAGTACATTAAATGTTGCTGCCTGAGAAATAGTTAATGTACAAATACATTATTAATCTGAGTAATTTACGGTGGGTGATACTGTCCAAAGTTGGGGACAGTGGCATTGGAAAAGTTTGGGCTGAACATATAGGAAAAAATAGTCAAATTCTCTGTTTTTTTTTTAAAAAAAAGTATCACCACCAAAATATGGTTCTGTGTAATGTTAGGTTCTGAATCCTAGATGTAGATTTAGCATAGATTTAATTACGTAATGAAAAAAATGTATTTCACACATTCTTAATTTGAATAACACAGACCAAGTTCTTGAGTACTTTATTATTGCTTGTTCTGGAGCCACATTCTGAAAAGGGATGTGCGATACATAAATTAAAAACTGAAAGAACTGCGGATAGGTGTGGTACGTAGGTGGTTTCCAGATTATACGGATGAATTAGCAGTAAAGTCACCATAGTCCTACTCTCTCATTCAAGAGAAGTGACTGGTGCTGATTTAAGGTGTGGATCACCATGCTTCAGGCCAGGGGAGAGGTCGAGAAGGAGAGTCCTTCACAGTAACATTAGCTAGTGTAGGAATCAAACTCACACTGTTAGCATCAATCTGCATTGCAAACCAGCTATCCAGACAACTGTGCTAACTGACCCACAGTGATGACAATATGGTTCAGTCATGAAACCTCATCACCCTCAATTGACACAAACTAAAGCTTGGTGCAGCTTCCGCAGAGACGGAATGAGGAAAGGTCATCGTCTAAGGCCATTAGTACAGCCATATCACTGCAAGGGTTAGAAATTTGGGGTATATACTTAACGAGGAATGTACATCAAGAGTCTTAAAATTGTATTGATGCACCTAAGAGTAGAGCATGCTGTGTGAAGACAAGTTGAATTTTATTGCACATCCTGTAATTTTCAAGCCAAACTGTTTTGTAATGCACTGGTATAAATTTTACGAATAAAATATATTTTTGGAAATAAAAAAATGAAATAGGGAACTTGCTCAAAGTTCAGGAATAGCAGCACTGGCGCAAAAACCTTAACAGTGGTCAAGATCACCTGCACAATCCCTTCCAACGTGCCACTTAAATCTGTCTCTCAGATTTAAGTGTTGTGCCTGGGAGCTCTTCAATAAATTATAGTAAAATATTCTGCATCTAAACCATATTATAACTGAATCACCATTGGTTAATCAAGGCACATCCAGCAAAGTGATTTATTAACTAGTACCTTCTGATCAGTCCAAAATTCAGGATCATTTAAGGACGAACTCCAAGACAGAATTTGACAACCATTCAGTACTTCTCTGTAAAATGCAGCACTCTGTGGAACTTGGCACACTCTTAATTTTAATCACTTCAAGCTGCCTGGCCCTTCTGATCAATGCATCTTCCTCCTTGTCCACTTTCACTAGGAAATGTTAGGTCAAGTCCTTTCTCCGCACACTAAGCTAAACCAATTGGAAGTGGGGAAGTGAAGATCACTTGGTGACTGTTGGACTTCGTCAGACACCAACAGCTTGTTGACAAAGGCAATGGTTTTCTTGGCTGTGAGCCAAAAACTGAGTCTGCGAACTATCATCATTTGAAACCCATCTTGAGAAATATTCAGAGTATCTGGAACACTGTGACAGTGCAGCAAAGCTGTTGACAGATCATTCAGATAATACTAATCGCCCTAATTTGAATGGTATATGAAATGATCTGGCATTATTACAGAACTTACTTAAAGGCTTTTTGGAATTTATTCTGTACATGTGAATGTCACAACAGCAGAAAACCTTCTGCTGCACTGCAGAAATAAGGACCATAGGTCAGCTCCTCAGAGAGAGAGAGGACTGGTGGTGGTTTAACCTTAGGGTACCATGCTTCAGGCAAAGGGGAAGGTTGAGAAGGTGGGACCTTCATGGCAATCTTATTGTAACAGTGAACCTACCTCTGGATATCATTTAATGTCAAATACAATAAATTTAGGAACTTGGCAGCACGGTGGTTAGCACTGCTGCTTTATAGTGCCAGGGACCTAGGTTTGATTCCACCCTTGGGTGACTGTCTGTGTGGAGTTTGCATGTTATCTCTGTGTCTGTGTGGGTTTCCTCCCACAGTCCAAAGAGGTGCAGGCTAGGTGGATTGGCCATGCTAAATTGCCTGTAGTGTTCAGGGATGTGTAGATTAGGTGGGTTACAGGGGGATGGGTCTGGGTGGGATGCTGTGAGGGTTGGTGTGGACTTATTGGGCCGAAGGGCCTGTTTCCACACTGTAGGGATTTTATAGAACAGAAAGTGAGATATTGTTTGGACATGACGTATTTGCATCATTGATCACATCTGTTACGTTCACTTATTTTAAATTTTTTTTCAACTCTTACATTGCATTGAGATTAAACATTTGGATCAAAGCTTCCAAAAATTCCAGCAAAATATCTCTAACCTTTACCTATTCACCAAATGGAATTGTGTAGGATAGGAGTAAATGGGATGGAATTTGATCAAATGGAATTCTACATAAAGAGCAGTTCTGTACATTGTCCTGCATTATGTTCAGACTTTCATCAAATCAACTTGTGAACAAACTCAAGAATGGACCCCATTTGCAACCCTGGGACTGCCTGTACTTTCAACATTGTAGCTTGCCATCAGTATGTCGTGTCGGTGGTAGCCAACATGTGGAGGTGCTGGTGTTAGATTGGAGTAGCCAAAGTCACATGACACCAGGTTATAGTCCAACAGGTTTATTTGAAACCACATGTTTTTGGAGCACTGCTTCTTCGTCAGGTGAAATTAAAAGAAGCACGCAGGCACAGAATTTATAGGCAGAGAGATCAAATGGCTGGAATAACATGATTGGTATAAGAGTAACCTCTGCAAGACTCTGGTACTACCTCTCTCAATAACATGTGAAGAAGGAGTGACCTCCAAAAGCTTGTGTTTTCAAATAAATCAATTGGACTATAACCTGGTGTCATGTGATTTCTGACCATATAAATGAAGATGTTGTCTTTTTGTACATCATGCGATTATGCTATCATCTATAATGACTCATATATCGAGATATTAAAGTCCATCTGGGTCTTTACTCTGTTTCTAATCCTTCCAGTTAAAAATTCTATTAACTTTCAAGTTACAGTTTTGGATACACATTGCTCTTATGGAGGTGATGGGAATGAAATGTTTTTCCATATTTCCTCTCCGTGTCAGTTTCAGTGTCATTCCAGATTCACTCTGGAAGATGAAAAACTCTCTTTTTTTTAGTAATTGGTTTATAAACTGTACACCCTCCCTCAACCTCCTGATTCCACCGCCCCCACCTCCCAATTCCCCCTTGATTGGTGAAGATTGAGGTTCTTTTCAACTCAATAGTCAAGCCATTCCATTTAACCAGTCAGAAAGTCTCCACAGTGCCATGAACAGAGTTAATCGCCTTTGTGATGTGAAGAGATCCTTAAATGATTGTTAATTTACCATTTAAGGGTCTCAACTGGTGGTGCAGGTGGGTAGATGGTGGGTGTCTCCCCCAGTACCATCCCACCTGATTGTCTATCATTCACGCCACTACTCAGGAGGATGTGATCCCATTCTCTGTTTAGTTTCAACTAATGTAAGAAAATTGTGGAATGAGCTATGAGGAAGGCAACAGAAAAGTATATGGGAGAGTTGAATTGGTATTTGAGGAGTTAGTGGCTGGTGGGTTTT